CTCATATACGTCTCATAACCGCAGTTCACACATATGTTTCATATGTTTGTTGTTGTTTGATTTATCATCTACGGGTTTATGTCGAATTAATTTGATGGCCTGCTCCCAGTTGGCTTGTTAGCTCAATTGGTAGAGCGCTGCACTAGTATCGCAGAGGTCAGTGGTTCGAATCCCGTACAGGCCTGAAATTTTTTTCAGGTCTGATTTTCACTATTGCTCAAATAGTGCTTTACTGCGAAGGATCGTGCATATATACGTTTCATAACCGCAGTTCATACATATGTTTCATATGTTTGTTGTTGTTTGATTTATCATCTACGGGTTTATGTCGAATTAATTTGATGGCCTGCTCCCAGTTGGCTTGTTAGCTCAATTGGTAGAGCGCTGCACTAGTATCGCAGAGGTCAGTGGTTCGAATCCCGTACAGGCCTGAAATTTTTTTCAGGTCTGATTTTCACTATTGCTCAAATAGTGCTTTACTGCGAAGGATCGTGCATATATACGTTTCATAACCGCAGTTCATACATATGTTTCATATGTTTGTTGTTGTTTGATTTATCATCTACGGGTTTATGTCGAATTAATTTGATGGCCTGCTCCCAGTTGGCTTGTTAGCTCAATTGGTAGAGCGCTGCACTAGTATCGCAGAGGTCAGTGGTTCGAATCCCGTACAGGCCTGAAATTTTTTTCAGGTCTGATTTTCACTATTGCTCAAATAGTGCTTTACTGCGAAGGATCGTGCATATATACTAGTTGGTATGTAAAGTTGAATTATGTACTTAAGTGTTCTTCCACTTGTTTTTGTTGATAGTGTTCGTTCCCTATGAAGGATGAAGAACCTCTCAGTTCAAAAGAGATTCGTCAAATGGCTTTACATGTTTTAGACGGTTCAGACTTTGAACACTGTGGAACAGAATTCAATAAGGATTTGAGGTAGATCTGTAAATCTTTAAAAACGAACAAGATGGCCCTTGGGTCATCGTTCAAATTAAGTACTTACACCATTCGTCAGAACTGGCGGCTTTCTGGCATTCTCCTTTGTTCGGATTGCCCTTTGTTGTTATTGAAGTTTTTTTTTTCGAACTCATTCTGATTTTTGTTTCGCCCTCAGAGCATTTGTTGAAGACTTCGCCAAGAAAGTTGAGAAAAAGGATCCACAACTAAGCGTGGGAGCTGGGTAATGCTTGATCTCTCAAAGATAGCAATAAACAGACGCTAACCTCCTTTTAATTTTATAATCCCTTACTGAACTTCCAAGATCAGATTCCTAACTTTCTTTCCTTTCTATTACGCATGTCCGTGTGAATTGGTCAAAAGAGCTTATTTTTATATCAGGATAACCCCCTTAAGCTGATGATTTTGCCTGCTCCGATAACCAGTTTGCTTGATGGTAAATGTATCATTTTATAAAGGGAAGTTAATAAATGTGTAATAAATGTATCATTTTATAAAGAGAAGTTATAACTTAATCAAATCTGGGGCTGAATAAGTCAATCCATTTATTTTTCTTTTATCCATAGTGCATCTGAAAGAAGTCGCTCCAATGGTAAGTATATTTTCAACTCCCTTGTAGAGGTCTTCAAGGCTAAATATCACTCAGAAAATATTTTAGGGTCGCGAGTTTTCTAGGGAGAGTAAGAAGTTAAGATGTTTATGTGCGAGTAACGGTGGTCTGGTAGCTAACGCGCCGTCGTACGCATCTAGGGGCCTGATTTGTAGCTCCGGTCAGGGCATTGTGTTGTGTTCTTGGACAGTTAGAACTTCAACTCTCGCAGTGGGATGGGCGATACGTTAAACTACCTCTGTTTCTTCTCAGTGCTTTCCTGGGTAGACCGCTGTACTAAGTCACAGCTGAAGCAGTTCCTGGACCTTTGCAAGGAAAAATACTCAAGAGCTAAGATCGAACCGAGCACTGCAGTGGGTGCCCTGTGCGCTCAGAGTATTGGGGAGCCTGGTACGCAGATGACTCTGAAGACATTTCACTTCGCCGGAGTCGCTTCAATGAGTATCCTTTTCTGTTTCAGAATGGCTTTATTAAGAGTTACAGCATGGTTTGTTTTCTACCCATGTTGAAGTTTTCCACCTTAAGTTATTACTATTCCTTTCTGATTTCAGTATTCTTTTTATATTTGGCGTTCTTCTTCCCTGACGAGCGATAATTGTTTGGTGTCCTTCTATCTGAAAAGTAATATTCCAACTAACAAAAACATGGGCAGGTGATTGCGGTATTACCCAAATTAACAGTACTCCAGAAGAACTCATTTTGTAATCTATGCTTTATATAATTTGCGAAGAAACTCTCATTCGTAAAATATTAATCCATGAAAAATTATTTTGTTCTGTTATTATCAAGCAAGGTGTTACTCGTTCAATAACTTTTTATATACTTGTTGTACGGATACCCGCTACGTTTATAGAATCCTGTAAACTCTTTAGCGACGAGTTTGCTCCTGCAGAGTAGGTTTGTAACAACTCTTTGTCCTGATTCTTGTGAATCGTTTCTGTGTCACGCAATACGTCTTGTGAATCGTTTCTGTGTCACGCAATACGTCTGTTACCTTAACTGAATCAGACATCACTCTTGGTGTCCCTCGTATAAAGGAGATCATCAACGCGTCGCGGTTCATCAGTACCCCTATTATCTCTGCTCCTCTTATGAATGACAAAAATGCTGACGAGGCCCGTGGAGTAAAGGGTCGCATCGAGAAAACATTATTAGGAGAGGTATGGGAATTTATTATTGCTTGTTGTTGTGCAACGCTGTTGTTTGTCAAGGCTGAGCCAAAAATATCTCAGTTAAAGGAGAAAGAAAATCTTTGGGCGCTCCAGTGTCAGTAGTATTCAGTTGGCAGTCAAGGCATTTATTATAACTTATTTTACCTGTTTGACAGGTTTCAGAGTACATCGAGGAAGTTTTTCTTCCCAACAGCTGTTTCATTCTCGTCAAACTCGCCATGGATAGGATTAAACTACTAAAGGTAATGAAACTAAACGGTAGGAAGGAATTGTTGCTTTAGTGTTGCTTGAATGGTCGGCTCTGGTAAGTGGTAAGAGGTAAGTGATAAAAAGAAAGGAAAACATATAACGGTTTTAAGGTCGCGAAAATACGTAAGGGTGGCTGAAATGCGGGAAAACTAACAAAGTGAGGCTTCGAAAGCGCGGGAAACCATAGCAAGGAAGAATGAGCGGTAAAATTAAGAAACGGATGGCAGAAATGCGGGAAAGGAAAGTCTGATCAAGAGTTAACTTGGAACAGGTGGCAAAAACGCTAAAAAACATATTGAGGACGAAAAGAGAGGAAATCATGAAAAATGGGTCTTAAAAACGCAGGAAATTACGGTGTGGATTCAAAGAGCGTTAAGAATAATTAACGGGTGGCAAACTGCGCGGAAACATCGAATGGATAAAAGAGCTGCAAGAGTGGGAAATGAGTGGCATGCGCGGAAAAACCTGGCACCGGTGAAAAGGGCAGGAAAATAAGAAGCGGTTGGCAAGCGCGGGAAAAGACACAGTAGTTGTCTACTAAAACACGATCGAGAAAGCAGGGAAACGTGTTGGAGGCAGCTGATGACAAATAGCAGCATGTAAAAAATTCAACATTGGGAAACTTGCTCTAAATTATGCGAATTACGCAAAGGTTAAGTGCAGTAGTATGTGCAACTTTGAGCCCTATTTCTGCTGATTTGTAGAAGCCTAAAAAGCCGTAAGGTGGCTCGCGGTGAAACGACAGGAAACGATAAAAGGCAAGATTTCCGTTTAACCTCATACTTCATTATGCATACAGTTCTTGGATAAAAGAAAGCAGAGGCAAAACAACAGATTACCTTTGGGATTACGGCTTTGGTTTTGATTGTTATGGGGTTCTACGGAAATCTTTCCCGATTAAATGATTGAGAGTGAATTTTATACTGACCTACAGAAATAAAGGCATTTTATTGACATATTACGCATGTGGTTGTCAGTGGTGAATGACATGCAACAGGTGGGAAACCTTGTAGGGAAACTTAAAACTTACAAAAGGTACGTCCTTTGGTACGTGCTGTGAAACGTGTAACTCAGAAAGCGGGATACCTCAAACGCGGAAAAACTTTGATCGTAGTGAGGGCGGGAAATTTTTTTCGGGTACTAAACGTTGTAATCCATTTGGCTGATGGTAAAATCGCAAAAAATTTGACGGGTGGTAAACAATGTAAGCTTTTTTTACGGTTGTAAGGGCCGAAATATTTTTTGCTTATCACGGGAAAATTCTTCGTGTCAGATGACAATTGCGGGTAAACATTAAGTTGATGACGAGCTCGGGGAAAATACGATAGGTTATTTCCTTAGGGGCCGACCATTAAACTTTTGAGGTGGGGGTGGGTGATTTCTGGTCATCAAGAATTTTTTTTTCCAGCAATCTGCTGGGCAGGATATTTTTTTGCATGCTAAATGCTCTTTTTTTCTGTTACATTTTCAGGAAATTTATTTTCAAAAACACCCACCACGCCCCCCCTCCCCCCTCAAGAGTTAAATGGTCGGCCCTTTATTACGAGGAGCTTTCTATGTAACGTGTTTGTTTTCTTTTGTCAGCTCGAAGTTGATGTTGATTCCATAAGGTTTGCAATTTGCAGTACAAGAAAGCTGAAATTAAAACCTCAGGTGTGAATGAACTTGTAAACTTTTTCAGTTTCTTAACCACTCATTTGCTAGGTTTCTGAACCAGTTAAACCAATTAAATATTTGGGACTCTGGTAAGGGTGTAAATAGGGTTACATATGTTGCACAATTTACCTTGGAAAGTTTTATATGTTGTTTCCATTTGGTATTGTCCTTTGAAAAGAGGGACAGAAAACAGGGACGGAAAACAGCGACCGAAAACAGGGACTAAAAGGGAGCACTGAGAAAGGGTCATACATTGTGATCCTCTGTGATAAACGTACATTTCTTTGCAGCAAGTGACCGCTCTTAGCAAATCAGAGCTGTGTATTTATCCCAGTGAAAGCAGCAAGTCTTCCCTTCATTATACCATGCAACAGCTGAAATCTGATCTTCCTAACGTACTCATCAAGGTAACAATGAGTTGATGAACATTTTGAGTTTTTTTCTCAGTCTGTTTGGCATATGTTTTGTCCTTCATTTCTGAGAGGATGCTTTTAATTTTTTGAGTGTTTTACTCGCTTTTTATCAGGGTCATAAGAATGTTAATCGTGCCATCATTCATGTTGACGAAGCTCAGGGAGACACTTACAAGCTGTTAGTGGAGGGAGACGATTTGCTGTCTGTCATGTCCACAGTTGGTTAGTTCTGAGACATTCCTTGTCGTACGAAATTTGTCAGAGAAAATTCCTGCCCTGCGATTGGTCCAAAAAACTCGCGATAATCCCGCAACCAATCAGATTTGTAGTAAACCGAAAAACAAACTCGCCTCAAGTGATTTTTCTCTCTTTTTCACTGTCGTTAGGTGTTAAGGGTACAGCTGCAACTTCCAACAACACAGCTGAAGTGGAAAAAGTTCTTGGAATCGAAGCTGCCAGGTTTGTACGGTAGTTCCTTTTAATAGCTGCCGTAGCACGAAAATATTTAGCATGCTGTACGGAATTATGGAGTCTCATTGGTTAATGCAAGTGTCGATGATCCATAACTTACGATTTTCAATATTTCTCTCTTTGCTCTTTCTCTCTGATAAATTCTCTCCTCCCCCTGTGTTCACTCTTGAGATACCAACACAGAACGCTTTGCATATGGACGCTTTGGTGTGGTGTAGAGGTTTGATAGAGAAAGGGTGACTCAACATAATTGCTTTGCGTCTTTAACTCTTCTTACTTCGTGCCCTTGAATAATATCCTTGATTTTGTTAAAGATGCCAGACAGCTTTCCGAAACTGGTAACTGTAGGAAAAGCTCTTAAAAATGTTGACCTTTTTGCTATTATTAATATCGTGTCGTGACTAGCCTCTCTCTCTCTGTTACCAGGGCAACGATAATGAACGAAATCAACGTGACCATGAAGAGTCATGGGATGAGTATTGACACTCGTCACGTGATGTTACTTGCGGACCTCATGACTTTTAAGGTGATGGGAAATTAATGGAGTATGTTGTGCTCTTCCTAATAGACAAACACATTTGTTGTCTCCCGCTCTGATGACAATACTTATTTTTCTACAAGGGAGAAGTACTTGGAATTACAAGGTTTGGCTTGGCAAAGATGAAGGAAAGTGTCCTGATGCTCGCGTCTGTAAGTCATTTTCATGCATTGAGATTTTCTAAGATGGGTGAGAAGCCAAGATTTTCCAGTAACAAGAAGGGGGAGTGGGTTGGGGTGCTTCACATCAGAGAAGGAGGAGATGGATGCAATGCATCCCCCTGGCTACACTGCAGAAGCTCAGTACGAAGCATTGAACGAGAGAGAGGGAAAATGGTCAGCCAAAACAAAATGAGCACAGTTCATTTCTTAGCTGTTTGATTTAAAAGTTTTGCTTTTTACATTGTAGTTTGAGAAGACTTCTGATCATTTGTTTGACGCAGCACTGCACGGTCAGACAGACTCCATTGATGGTATGCACAGTTTAGCTCATGTATCACCCAAAAGGTTGCATGTTTTAGACGTTTTGTGATGCAGAAATCTCAGAGCCTTTTCAGGGTTTCACACGATAACAAAAGAAAAGGAAAACTTTTTTCTACCCCTGGATGAAGTGCTAGTGGTAGTTTACCCCCAGGAATTTATCAGGTTTTCTTAACAGTTCACTTTCACCCAGGCCTAGAACAAAGTTTCGTCCACCAACTCTTCTTGACAAACGCATGATATCATGATATGGAACGTGATGCGGGGCACCTATTACGCCAAGCACGCGGTACGGTGCACGTGGCGTGTGATGTTATAAGTACGTATCCTTGTTCGTTATTACCTTTGCGTGCCTTGCTTTGCAGGTGTCAGCGAGTGTATTATCATGGGAATTCCCATGAGTATTGGTACAGGAATGTTCAAACTACTCCACAAATATCCTTTTTACGTGCTTGATGATTTTTTATGTTTTTGTAGAATATTCCATACTTACAGTTATCTTATCATAATATAATACTGAATGAATAATATAATATATATCGATTTCTATAGCGCATTTCCATGGAATGCTCTAATGCGCTTTACAACACTGTGCGGGGGACTTTTCCAGACTGCCGGCGGCAGTTTACAATAAATAAACAAGAAATTTTACAGATGCCCCATCCCCCCCATTCCCAGTAACCAGGCCAGACCACCTCACAGTAATCTCGTGATGTGGATTCTTTAACGTCCCCTGCCGAAATTAACTAATTGATAGATGCAGGAGACGGGACCTCCGGCTTTACTTCCTATCCGAGAAGACGAAGCAATGTGAGTGAAGCGTCTTTCTCAAGGACAACGTCAAGCCCCGGCCAGGACTTAAAACCGGGCCATCTGACCCAGAGTCCAGCCCACTGACCATTATTGCTCTGTGGGAAAAATGCTCGACTTTCAGCATTTTTGTTCTTCTTCAGTGGAATTAATGGAGAACAGACCCTTTGACCTTTGTTAAAATGAACGATTTCTTCGGTTTATCCTTAATATTATTTGAACGCCAGACAAAACAGGTCCACCGAGCCGGAGAAACTTGATTTTTGACAACCCTGTATTTCATTTGCCGGAATCTACCATGGACGTGGTGAGGTAGCAAATGGAATGGAAACGAATTTTGCACTTTACACGTGAACTGATTGCGATTATGTAGTTGTACATTCAATTAAGAACATTGAACTTAAGACTCTTTTCTTAGTCTCGAGACTGTTATTTTCGACAATTTGTCTCCTGAAACTTTGCTAGACGGACCTCAATAGCCCCTTGGTACAGTGTGTTATTACTAGCAAATAAGTTCTTCAACCAAAGTCAAAATTTAAGTTACATAGAAACCTGCTCTCGCGCACTATGATGGGCGAACTTGAATCGTCAGAATAAAAAGAAAGTTCATATGTTTAAAAATAACGTGATTAATTATCATAGTTTTGTATGATTCTAGCATAGCAGCGTTGTGGTGTTTCTCACAAGACTGCGTAATTGTGTAAAGACCACAAACTTGAAATCGCCATATTTAACCCTTTACACCCAAAGTCGGTTTGCATATTCTCCATACTGTTCTTTCTACATTTCCTGAGGCGCTGACAAGGAGAATGTGTTTAACAATCAAGAGCTTCTTTAGAAGCTAGATGCGAGGTTATAGGGTTACGCTTCGTCAATCGAAGATTTGTTTGATTTAACTTTCGTATTGAAGTACAACCGGTTTTTTTCCACGCAAACTCGCCTTGACATTTCAGCAATTATTCGCGCGAAGCCTGGGTGAAAAGAAATATGATGCGGCAAAATACCCTTGAAAACGAGGGGACAGTTTTTGGTTAAGATGTAGATATTCATCCAGTTTGTGTGTATATTTGTTATATGTGAAGTATAAAAACGAGATAAAACAACCGGAAAAACCGATACATGTTAACGAAACTTTCAACTGTTTTTTAAGTTATTTACCAAACAAGTCTATGATGTTGGCCAAGTTTTTATCAACCTATAAATTGATAATTATGAGCCTAGCCGAGACTGTTTATCGATAAAAGAGTCTGCGAAGGAACAGCTCTTGTTCTATTATCTTTGTTTGTGGTAAGCATCGTTTTTTTGTCCGTGTGGACGTGATAAACGCGTAAATTTTAAAGCACTGACATCGCTAGCCTGCCATCTTTTCGAAAACTCTCCTTTTAGGTAAAATCTGTGTTTTTCAGTGTTCGGCGGTTGCGTGAAAGACCCCCCCAAAAAACGGAAGTCGTTGACGGCAGAATTTCTAAGCTCGTTTTTATACGCGATTGGCGCTCGAATTCAGCACGTGTTAGTTTTAACTACTTCATTAAGAGAGACGTTGATCCCACGTGGAGGTAATTACAACTGCAATTTGCAGACATCAAAGACCTTGCCATGGGACCAGTAAAGTAAAATGGCGCCTTGATTTCTAGCGCGCGTGAATGATATTGTACATCCGAACAAACACTATACCTTCTCGCCCTTTTGGGAGTCTTGACATTTTTTTTATTTCCCTAGGCGCCAACTAATTTATTGATAAGTTACAGGTATTTTGTTTAGTTCGTATCACCATTTTAATAATTCTGTTCGTCTTAGAATTGACGTGTTCAAGAGTTGACTTAAAACAAGTGAAAAATTAATTTGCATTCGCTTGGAAGGTTTAGGGGTTTTATTCTCTTGCTTTCATTAGTGCATTTTATTGCCCTAAATGATCGTCAGCGTTGTTTTAAACAATGTCAATTAAACAAAGGAAAATTCAGTTGATTGTAACAATTTTAGTTTGGAAAAGATGCATGTAAAAATTATGATCGTGTTTTCTACTCTGTTACTGGGCTCTGGAAAGAGAATTTAGCCAGCGTTGCCCAGTTCTAAGATGTTTCATGAAGTCGCATGAAATCCAGACGAATTTTGTTTTCAATGTAACTTTTTCGATGATAAAAAGTTTTACAATTTAGCTCCCATAAAAAATTTTTTAATGTTCATTAAATTGTAAACAGGATGTGGGAATTCTAGTTTTAAACCAAAATACTGTGGTTTTACTTTCTTAATGGACCTTTCAAACTTTGTTCGGATTTCAGTTAAAAACCTGAAATATTTTTGTTCCTGTTGAAATTCACAGCTGACAATCAAATCACAGCTCATCTCTTTGGATCTGTTTTATTCCGAGTTATTAATTCAAAGTTGCTAAGAAACAAAGTCAGGAATGAAATATCGTTAAATAAGCGGCCATTGTTTAGTATATTCTATTACTTCACCACGTGGTTTTATTTCGTGAACGCACGTAAAGTAAACTGAGTTTCAAAAATGATCGGGGTTACTTCTCTTTCGCTCTATCTTTAAAAACTGGTTAATAGAGATTACTCTCCTGCATTTTGCAACCTGTTATTATTCAAGCCTGGAGCTCTCTGAGCAGGATCTTGGATCAAACCGTGATCACAGGTCGCATATTGTTTAAGATACCAATCGTGATTTATTCAGATTACGAGACCGACCCAAAAACAACTATTAGTTTCAATTTATATCCTTGAAAACTGCCGCTTATTAAAAGTCTGCAGTTCTGAACCAAACCAACGTGATTCCCGTTGATATAATTGCTGCCTTTTTGGCCTATATTTTGTGTTTCCTAACTGTCCTATTCATAATCCTACACGTGGTCTACAGACAAAGGGCGCCTAATTTAAGCAGTTTTCAAATTGAGGCACTTTGATAAGTCTTCTCAATTGTCGCTTGCAACGAATCGCTAAAAAATGAAAAATAAAACCGTTTTCCTTCTATGATTTCGCCGCGATTTTAGTGATTAGGTACTTTTGATAAAGCCGTGCAGTTTACTTGGGGTAAATTTTGTGGTATTGTACGCGAATTAACCAACAGACCAAGCCTACTTATGTTACAAAACAATTACCCGTTAGTTCTGTTTGTTTTGGTCTGTGGGATTCGATGTGGCAACTGCTTGCGAGACCTATGGCGCGCAAAAAGGAAAAAGAGGAAGAAACAGGTTACACTGTCTGTTTCTTGTCCGTGGCTAGCAACGAAGAACAGACGTTGAAAATCATGGTTTAGTTAAAAAAACCAAAATAAAATCCATCACAGCTTCTTTTAAAACAACTTTTTATAATTGAATCTATTTTAATAATGTATTGACACGGGTACAGCTGTACAGAATAATACAGATACTTTCATTAATACAAGCTGTTGCATTTTACTTAGAGTCAAATGAATGCAGTAGTATAAAAGAATTTAAAAATTGCAATCAACTTTTGCTTCTTTTTTTTTTTTCATAGAAAAAGAGATGAAAACTTAAGGGTATCTACAATTTTGTTTTTTTTTTACACAGATAGAAAGTTCTCTAATTTTGATTAATCGTGAGCAAAGTCTTGGAATCCTTTCAGGTATACGTCCAGCTCTGAGCTTTTAATACCATAGTGATCCCCCATCTGCGGAACGATATAAAGAGGAAATTAGACCTTATTTCATCTTAATGGAACTGGCTAAATCGAGAAGGTCTTAGACAAAAATACGAATTGAGTTAACTAATAAACTCCATGGAAGAGAACTCATTGTTTTGGATTGTAACTGCGGAGTGAATTTACCTGAAATTGATCCAGGGTTTTGGGAACGACAATGGTAACTGCTTGGTCGTGCATTAGGACGCTAGGAGTTCCGCTTCGATTTGGCGTAATGGCTGCTGCTACTTCCACTTGTGGAAGCTGCCCCGCTAACATCGCAGCAGACTGCGAGCCTTTCAAGTAGCAACTTAACATAGCTATGTAGTCGATAGCCATTCGTAGCACTTCAATTTTGGAAAGTTTCTGTGGGTTTTGATCAACACATGGGACCTTCTTCCGTAACAGTTCTAAAGCATTGTTCAAAACATGTCGCCGTTTTCGTTCTCTGGCGCTTGCTTTCAACCGTCTACTTCGATCCAGCTGAGCCCATTTCCGATATCTTGAGGTATCTGCTGCATTGACTTCCTTACTTGTGGGAACAAGCTGATCGCTTTCGTTGTTTTCTTCTTTTGTCATATTTTTTGCTGCACAAATGCTCCGCTTCACAGATGCTTTCTTTTCTTCCCGGTTCTAGTTGCTGGTTCCTTCGCCTCTCACTGGCTCCTCGCCTATTGTTGCCTGTAACTCATCTTTCTATGACTTTTCTTTACAGCACGCGTGTATGAGGTGGTTTTTACATAACAATGCGTGCACACGCTTACCGCGATGCGCGTGCTCCGCCACAAAGCTTTTTGTAGCGGTGTCAATCAACCAAATTGATGTAGATTCTGACATTGAATGGGCTCTGTGGATCACAGATCTCGAGATCACATCTATTTGAAGCTTTAATATGATTTTAAGCGGGCGGAATTAATTGCATAAAAGAACGCAATTAGAAATAAAGCTTTGCTAAAATTACATTCGCTGCGGATGTATGATTTGCTACTTTTTCTTGGCCCAGCAATTGATGTAATATAGCACGAATTCGAGTCATTTGATTACTTCATTTACTTTCAACTTTTATTGAAACACAAACTGAGCTGAAACAGTATCATTTCTCTTAAGTGTAGCTTAGTATTTTTCCCAATTTATGAAGTGAGAGACTTGGAAGTAAACTTGAATTTGTTTGAAACTTTTCCCGTGTATTGATTGATCAATATACTAATTTGTTTTCAAACTATTTGGCTCTGTTTTGCCACAAAAACAATGGTCGTTTAGTAGTTCTTAAACAGTTCTACATTTGAAAAATGCAGAATGGAATTGATTTAAACTTCTCTCAATCGCTCTCGCCCTTCGCGATATTTATTAAAAGGAGTTGTATTGACAATTTTGGAGAACTTTCCATCCTTTGAAGGCTGTATATTCTGTATAATTTCTGTATAATTCTGTACAAACTCTCGGTTATATATTCTGTATAATTTCTTTGTCCGAGTGCGCTTTGTGCGAGCTTCCCAAAATTAACAGTTGATAAACTCCACGTGTTCCAATGACAAGTTCGCAATGATATGGGTTCATCAACTGATACGATTATTTACGTAAACAATCGGCATTTCTGTGACATTAATATGAAGTCTCCTCATATCTTTAACGCGTCCAAACTAAACACGCCATGAACATAGATAAACTACAGGTTAACCCCTAATGCCTTCTAGGAGTCAATCAATAATAAGCATTTCAATTATCTTTAGAAACAAATGAAGATGATTATCGTGTGGATGACGTGGTCTCAATTTAGAGCCAAGTTCTCAGGAGTAGCCTAAAGAGAATATTTAGTCATCACTTCAGAGAATTCGTGTTTAAGTCATAGGACAAGGCGTTTGTTTAAAATTTTTACACGACACTTTGATAAATATTTTTCCTTTCTAAGGGGGTGCTCTCGCCGAGCAAGCTCTGAACTAGTTATCTTAGAACAAACAGAACTCGCACCTCACTTTTCCGTGATTTTTTCTCTAACAGAATTACCATTTTGTGGAATAGTATTCCTGATGACATCAAGTTAGCTACTTTCCCGGGACCCGTTTCTCGAAAGTCCCGGTAACTTAGCGGGCCCAATAAAGCTGTTCTGTTTTCATTCAAGATAGGGATTTCAAATTTTTGAAAATGGCACAAAAAACTTTCAGCTAAAGAAACAAAAAGGACTGGTTTAGGTGTCAGAGCCTGCTTCTCTATCCTTTAAAATTTTGATTTTAAAACATGGCTTCGGGCCCGTTAAGTTACCGGGACTTTCGAGAAACTGGACCCCTTTAAGCGCAAGCTCAAATCTTTTTTTCTTCTGGCGTTTGCATTGTGTTTTTGGTGGGGAAAATATTCGCTCGTACAAGATTATTTGCCCAAAATGCAGAAGAGTAAATTTAAGAAGCGCATGTTCTTGTTAATATGCTTTTATTTAATCATATATATGTTTTGTTTTTAAGTTTATGGGGTTGGGTAAGGTGTTTGAACCTTGTGGGGGATGCTATATCCTTTTGTTCTAACACCTGTATATTTTCTATATGTACAAATCTTGAAATAAATAAATAAATGATAATTAAAAGACGAACCCAGTCTTAAAACCTACATCAAGGGATAATGCGAAAAGAAATAATGGTAAAGTTTTCGTGTCACAGTATATTGAAACTTTGTTTCGATAGGACAGGCCATTACTGTATCTTTTAGGTTTGTAATCACTTCGGCGCTTCGCCGTTGTCGAGGCTCCGTAGCGCATGCGTGAGTGTTTTTCACATGTACATGAAGGCTTCGAGTAAAGCATGCGGAAACATTGTGAAAAGGATAAAATTGTTCACATGCTTTTGAAGTGCTTTTCACATGCCTGTCGCTCAGTTAATTTTACATTCATATGAAATTTTCAAGATAGATAATTGAGGAGACCTGTATGGAGAATATGATTAGATTTTGCTGTTATCAGCGCCTGGGACATGCGCATATGGCCTCTTGTTGAAGTTGAGTTTCCTTCGACCTCCCATATGTTTGGAAGACATGTCGCGCAAACGTTCTGCCCTGACCAGTTTTGGATTTGTATGTTAATCTCTCCTTCGACCAGAATGAATAGCTTTAACTTAAGGCAAAATGTACAATTGTTTGGTTCAGGATTATATGTAATATTTTCCAAAAACTCCACCAATTTAGCCTTATTAATCCTGATCAAAAGATTCTCGTTAAAAATAAAGGATGTGGTCTAACTGTCGGCTTTCTTCAGGACAACTACGTTTTCTATCTAACGTGGTCAATTCATTCTACTCGATATAAAGCTGACGTCGACATTCCTGTAAAAATTGTTTTCTCGTGTAGTGTGCCTCATCTTTGAGCCCGCGCGTTCCTGAGCCTCTTTAGATGTATGTATGGTTGTTTTCACTCTGGAAACGGTTAAAAAATTTTCTGTTCACACTCTAAGTCGACCGCAGTGTTTTTTGTCTTCACTGTAACTAAATCCGGCGACAGAATGGTTGAGTGATGTATATTTGGGCATGTGCCTCAATAAGGATCCAGTTATCTCTCCAAAAAGTGCAAATAGCAGTTACCTTCGCCTGTTCGAAAATTTCCGTCTTAAGATGTGTTTCCGTCCACATTGAAATTCAAAGCCGGCGTTTTCAAATGTATCGACTTTGAAGGGAGCTTTTTCTCAGTATTTTCGAAAAGCTTCAGTTTTGGTGGACAAGATATCATACTTAGTAAGTAAGTAAGTAAGTAAGTGGACTTTATTTAGCCAGGGTGGCCCATACAGCAACGAGGCTGATATCCAGAGGGGCCCTGGATTAAAAAAATTACAATAGTTAAGAATACAAGACATCTTGATAGCTGAAAATACAGGATAAAATTTAAAAATATTAGGGTGGACAAAAAGGATAACTGTAGAAACGATGTTTTGTTTTCGAGGTTAAACGACGCATTTAAGCAACCAATTCAGATTTCTTGTTGGATTCTTGGTCTTGGTCTGTTAGAATCAGTGATGTCACCGGAGCGGCGTGTGTCAGCTGCCAGCCCATCAACTGCTATGCCTCGGAATTTTTGTTTAAAGCGAGCGTGAAAAATAATTTTTTTTTTTTTGATTTCGTAATTGTGATCGTTTAACCCTTTGAATACGAAAAAGACCATGTTTTTTTCAGTTCTAATTTGGCGATACAAACTTAACCTCACTTTGTTGGTCCTTATATGGAGCATCCGTTACAATATTTGCGATTTTGAGACACCATGGGCTCAGACCTTGGGGTCACATGACCTAGATCAACAATTCGTGTTTGGATGCGTTCAAATCGCTTCGGTTTCTTGCTTTGCTGGCCGTTTATAAGTGTTTTTCGAGCCATTTTCCCTCTACAGAAGCCTGACGACGGCATCATTAAGCTGGAATGTGGGTAGAGGCAAGCCTCTGAAGGAAAACAGAGGTGAGAGATGGTTTCATATAGACTGGACCGCCAACGATGCTTCACTGCCAGCTTGGCGAGTTCACAAGTGAAGTTGTCTCTTGGGCCCATCTGTGGATGGCTTCCAGGACCTACCAAGGCTATGTGGCCAAGTTTTGACCGGTAAAAATTTCAATCGATGCGATATTTTGCCGGTAGGACTGGATGGCGCGACACTATTCTAATAATTCTTTGAAATGGAAATGAAGGGAGTTGCCTTCTCGAGTTATGGCGGAATTACCCAGAACTCTTTTCGGGCATGCACAAGGCAACGGTTGTGTTCGCGACACTGGCTTTCATCAAATGGAGAAACAAGGGCTGGCAGATAAAGTGAGAAGGAATTTTCTTGCCAGACTCCAAGATCTGGCCCTGAGGTGTGATTTGAACGCAAACTTAAAAAAAAGGAGAGTTTCTGTTGTTGAAAATGAGAATTGTTTTGTTTTGGAGAGTTTTGGTAACCACGATAGCAAAAACATTTTGTAGTTCCCTTAGCAAAGAGGAAATTAAAATACGGCGGTAGCTAACACGGTATGTTTTGACGTATGTGTCCGCTACTCGATAAGTACCCAGTTTGTTCTAAACCGAAGATCAATCTTCCTCAAAATTAAGGAATTTTTCAGTGTAAAAGGACAAGAGTCGAAGAAGGAGAAGAATGCGTTGTGTCATTTCACATCTAAACTCAGCAGTCTAAGAAAAGACAAGCACTAAAGAAACTAAAAAAAATATACGGGATGTTCCAAAGCTCAACGTAAAGAAACTGACGGGTAGAATTCCTCGGTGATGTCCGATGGTGGTGATGAAGGAGATGGGGAAGGAATTGCGGAAACTTTATTCAGATGGGATGGAAATTCGGAAGGAGAGGCCATGCAGTAAAACGATGAGAAGCTATACTGTGTAAACCACATTTTTTGGCTCAAGCAGCACGAATACGGCTATATTTTAAACTGTGGCAATGAACTTTAGTTAAGCAACACAAATACGTAAAGTCGATTTGTCAGTCTGATGACAAGAAATTATTATCTTTCTTAATTGTCTGAAAATCCATGAAACGGGATATTTTTCGTGATATGAAACAGGTTCATTCGTTGTTTAGTTCGTAATATAGTGGTTGGAGGGAGGCATTTTTTTTTCTTCCTATTGTTAACCGTTGTGAGTTCCACGACACAGATTATCGCTTTTTAATTCTTTATGTCATAAAACAGGTTCAGTTGTTGTTTAGTTCGCTTTGTAGTGGTTTGAAGGAGGCATTGTTTCCTCTTGTTGAGCCTTTTTTTGTCAAGTTGAAAGCATTTAGAGAGCTACCCGAATTTGTTCGCAACACTATACGCGATCAACCGTGACAATGTTTGTATTTTGATATCATATTTTGTTAAGAAACACTGATTATTCGCATTGATTTTCAATTTCTATCATTATAGCTAATTGTTTCCCCAGTTTATTTGTTTACTATTATTTTTTTTTTGCTGTGCATGAAATACGAAGTCGACTTGACAGTTTCGACACAATGACGACGAGCTGTTGTCGATCATATGTCACTATTGTTTGATAAAGATAGGAAAACGCCGAAGAGGCAAAAAAAAAAAAAAGAAGGAACGAGGAGGACAAACGCATAAAAGCTGACATACCTCTAACTTTTTTTTTAACACAGTAACTAATTGAGTCGTTCTCGCTGGTTGTTGGGATTTCTTCGTCATTCATTTAGGAATTAGCTGAAAACGTAATGCGAAACCAGAAAACAAAAAATTCATGATTTTTCCTCAAAACCATTCTTCGCGTGGAAACTCGCGAGCTATATAACCGCAAACGTTATCGATCCAGGACTCGCGGTTTTGCAAGCCAAATGCTAAGATCAGATAACAAGTCTTGCATTTTCATTACTGGAGTTTTTGTCCGTTATTGAACCACTGAACGGTTTTCAGTGACCGAATGTTAACTGAGACTATAGCAAACGAAACCAGTTTTGTTTTAGCTCTTTTCTTAAGTCCTTATCTGTAACACTGCGAGTGGTCAATGCTTGCAGTACATGGTTCCTGTTAGTTTTCATTCGTTTCCGAGCATAGAGCAATCTTCTAATTTGTATAACTTATCAAAGAAATGCACTGGTTTTTATTCAATTTGCTCTGTGATTTTACGGTCAAAAAAATATTTAATAGATAAATAAAAACTTGTGCTTCTTTGAGATGAAGTCAGCTGCAAAGCGAAAAATAATCTTACCTTTTAGTCAGCAACGGTTTCCATTCTTACTCTTAGTTTTCAAGGCTTCTTCTAATGTGTATTCTCATGATTGTTCCTATAGAGCTTTGGGATTAACCATTTAACTACCAGAAGCGATAAAGTGAAAGTGTAGCGTGATCGTCCGGGTGAGTCTAGTCCTGAGAAGGACTGTTATCGTTAGTGGTGACTAAATAAATAAATAAACTTTAATAGCTAACACAATTACTGGTAACCCAGTAGTTTACATTGTGGGCTGTGCGGAAGTCATCATCAGAGTCAACCGTACAGGTTGTCGAAGCGTTAGTCACCACTTCCGACAACAGTCCTTCTCAGGACTACACTCACCCGGACGATCACACTACACTTCCACATGTTACCCCCCGGGTTCAAACCATTTACTGCGGAAGCAATAAATTTGTATCTTCTCCCTGATGTTTCCATACTTTATCCAGCAAACAGGTAATGAGAATACTCAAACTTATCAGTTGTTGTCTTGATGTAACACCAGATTCTCGCAGCTAGAGAGGAAAATAATTCAGAGGCAAATATTTAAGAAATATTTTTCCACACTCGCTGCTGTTTTCCCAGTTTGATCGCAAATCGATCGCGAGAAGGCTTTCTCCATTTTGATCACATTTTCCAATTTTTCACGTTGTAACGACGTTCTTGTCAGATAAAAACTCAATTTCGAAATGAGAAACGTCGCGTCATTTAACACCAATTATGACTCGATATCTTTCACCTCGATTGGAAACGAGAAGACCTGGGCACTAGTTAAATCTCGCACGATACGTGTGGTCAAAGCTTTACTTTTGTGCATGCCTTCGCATGACTGTCGAGTAGGTGAAATTGGAGTCAAACTGATTGTGCCAATTAAGACTGATTTTTGGTCACATGGAAAAATCTCCAAAGTATTAAGCGCTTGTCAAATCTAACACAGAGGCAAACGTGCCATTATCGCAATTTAAAGATCTTTAAACACCACTTGTAAGAACAAAACTGCCCTGAGCAGCTTTGGAGTGAGTTCTAATTTAATAGTAAAAGGAATTGCTGTGTACACTTGGCGTCGTAAATTTTGATATAGTACCAGTCAGGCAAGCCAAACATTTATATCCTCTGTTTATCTAAACCGTACAATTTATCTTAAAACGAAATAAATTGAGACAGCCGTTATTTCTTTAACACCTGTGTTATTAATCGGAGCAAAGCCCAGGAGACACTTTGGGACAAACTTCTCCTTGTGTATCACTGCTTCTAAAACAAGTCGTTGAAATTCATTTTACAATGATGAGCAGTTTTCGATCGAGTGTCGAAAATAATGTATGAGTGCTTTGGTTTTGCTTAACTTCGTTCTGTGACTGGTCCAGAAAACTTGCTTCACCTTGTCAACCAATCAGATTCAAACCTTAAACCAAACCTTCTTTGGACACTCGTGTTTTCCCGCGTTTCATTCACAATACTTGTCGTCACTTTAAGTTCTAATTGGCTAATGATGATGTCAACCTTCGCTCGGATTGGCTGTCGCGATATTTTTATTTTGTTTTTCGAAACTCGACTGGAAGCTGCTTTATTGGCCATTTGTTTTGGTGAAACATTTTGGGGTCAGGAAAACGATTTTTCGCAACGTAATTTTTCCCACACAACGTAAATTATCAATGACCCGTTTTTCGAAAGCTTTGGGAACTTCACAGCTCCAAGCCATATTTTCAATTCTAATTCTAAAACCAGTCCACTCTGCGGTATATACGATTTTTTAATAATTTGAAATTATTTCAAAATTACAAATAAGTAAACACGACTAAATAAACAGACGCAGCTGAACAGCTTTTCGGAACGGGAAGCTACCGTCGAGCTGGGGGCCCCTGGCCCAAAGTTAAGGCAGTAAAGAAAGAAGAGTGAAACTTTTCAGTTTAAACACAGCTTCTCTCGTTATTTTAGTTTTATTGGTATTTTAATTTTGACAATTTTTTACCGCCGTTTGATTTCAATCTAATTATTCGCTTCGTAACACCCAGTAATATAAAAAAAATGATGCACGCCTTCGAAGAGGAGGGTATTCTATACAGTTTTTTCATCAATGCTCTCTCTATTACTTTTGTTCGCTAAACTTGAATCAAATCGCGCGCCGAGAGTCTGTGTTGAGAACTGACAACCGATAAAATAAATATAATTATAATGTTTATTCCAGCTATGAACATTGCGAAGGTTATGAAAGGATCCACTTTGTATGTCTGTCGTCCGATGAGACAATTCCATGATAATCTATTTAACTTAATGTTAATTCAGCGGGCCGGTTTTGTCAAATTTGAATTCTTTATTTACCACATTCACGACGCTTGTTACGCTCGGATCATTTTAAGCCTTCATCATCTGGGATCTTATTTTGGTGCTAAATCATCATCGAACTTTTTAAAACATCGTTGTGTTGCCGCGCCAAACAGGGCTAACATTTGTCATACTTTTCTGTCATGAATATTGGAGAGATGCACGAATCTCCGTCCGTTTGAGAAGCTCGCGACAAATTTCGAAACCTCCTATCTTATGATAATGCTGGAAGTTGTCTTTCCAAAATGCATGTTTCCACTATTTCGGCGACATTCGATTATGAATGGATATTTGGAAAATACCGAACCTTAAATGATATCAGAAAATAAGCACGATTTTTTTTTCCTTGCGTTTTCGTATCTGCGACCTATAAACATTGATACAAGACATCCAGTCAGTTGAAGATATCATACAAAACAGTTTTGAAAATTCGCCCTTCCATTCTTTGATCATTATTGATGCAAATGGCTTATTTGTAAAACAATTGGCTGTTGCTTTTGGTCAAATTCAGACCAGAAAAAGAGTCAAAAACACAGCACCTGCGCGGAGACACAAAGCTCGATCCCACAAAAGAAATTTACTTCGAATTCAGAGCAAGAAAAAGAAAGCTTTCCGAAACATTAAGCTGTCTTTGATTTGACAAGGAATACCGGTTTTGAAAGTTTTGAAAGGATGCATTGCTTTGTAATGAATTCAGCCCATTTTAGAATGGTTTTTATTCTCAAAAGACGCCATTAGGGGAAAGTAATAACGCAATTAACAAACAAAATTTTCAGTGTCACCGCACCTGTTATGCACAGCGAAAAAAAGCCATTTGTATGCGGCGAGAAATGACATTTGATGTGTCACGCTTGCTTTCGGTCAACAATCGTTTAGAGCTGATTGTGAATGAGTGTTTGCCAAGCGAGATGATAAACAATCTCGGAACTCTTTGTCTTTTGGTGGCAGGTGGTGTTTAAAAAATGCTAATAGAAAATGACAGATCTTCGGATGTTCGAAGCACAAGAAAACATCGCACTGTGAAGCAAGCAAAGGGAAACCAGGTGTTTCAAGTGAGAAGCGCATTCGTTGGTAAGCAGCGAGGCGGTCGACTTATCCTCCAATTTCACTGCCAAAATTGATCATCGCAGTGTTTCGTCGGCGAAAGCCCTAAAAACGTTATCAATTACAACGAAAAAGCCGCAAATTAAGGGCACCAGGCGCAAAAATCTCTCTTCTCCAGCCTCCATGTGTGATATTGCGGCGGTGAATTTGGTATATGCACAGTCCATGGGATCTCTTAACTACAATTCAAGTATTTCGAAAGAATCAACCAGCGAGGAAACTGAGGAGCCGAAAACACCAGCAGCGGCTCAAGAAGAAGAAAGTGAAGAAAACGTTGCAAGCGGGAAAAAGAAGAGAGGACAAAGTGTTAAAAAATCCCGCTCTAAGCTTAAAAAGGCATTGTCTTGGCGTCAGTCAAACAGATCACGTCGATTAATCGCAAATGCAAGAGAGCGCTCCAGAATTCATATTATGAGTGAGGCTTTCGAAGGATTAAGACGAGCTGTGCCCAGCTATTCCAGTGATCAGAAGCTTTCTAAGCTCGCAATATTGAGGTTGGCAACGAGCTATATCTCGGCATTGTCTTATTTGGCAGAGAACGATACATCTACGAAATCACTTAAACATTTCGCCGAGTGCGTCGATAAATGTACTCAAGCTTTGCAAACGGAAGGCCGAACAAGGCGAAAAGAGTGAGTATCAGAAAATGTTTTCTTTTTCCAACTTTAAGATAATACAAAATTATATTTTTCATTTTGGGATTCTCTCAAAGATGTTTTCTTTTCGTGGCCTTTTAAAGCTATTTATGATATTAAAAACTACCGAATCGCCGCTAAAACATATTTGCGAGTGAAAAGCATAATTTTATAAATAGGCCATAACTTGTACAAAGTATGCCCAAATTGATCTCATTTTCCCTTTGATAATTCCCTTTTCATAGCTCCACCACGCAAAAAAAAAAAAAAACATGCTTCAATTACTGCGATGTCTTTCTGGTTGCCTTAAGAAAATTTCCACGATATATATTTCTAACGCTAGGCTTTCCGGGTTCTTTGTGCTCTTACTTAAATTTTTATTAGAAGTTTAAAGGGCTTTTACAAGCAGAAATTATAATCAAAGCCGGCGTGAAGGTTTAAATCTCATCAGGCCCTTTAATGCTTTTCGTCTATTGATCTCGAAACGCCAAAGACCAGAATCGAATTCGCTAACAAACACCTGGACTTGTGTTGAAATAAACTTCTATGTTGTTGTATATTAAAACTCAGGCATTAACCAATGAAATTGTCGCGAACGTTGCAACAAAAGAACACTAATTACAGGAATACACCTGCTTTGCAAACGCATCGGGGAAATTCGCTCAAGAGCTAAATCTATGCGGTAGAAAACAGGAACTTCGAAAATGGAACCTTGTTTTTACTTGAGAACTCTCCAATTACATTTCGCGGAAGCGACGAGAAAGTTCGCTAAATTTATTCATTATTTACATTTTAGCGGTAACAGGTTTTTTAAAAGGTCTAGCCGGATTTAGGTGTTAAAATTGATGTATCCAAGAAAATGTGCTATTTGCGAATTTATAATTGAAAACTCGAGTGTTGTGCGGGAAAGGAAAAAAACTGTGCGTTAGTAGCATTTAAAACAAAATAGAAATTAGTTCACTTAAATATATATTTCATTTTACAGGGCGAAAAAGACAGTCAGTGAAGACATAATTATTGACTGACGTGGGCACTCAATACAGACATAAATATTCATATTTCGTTCCAAGTGTCAGCGACCTCCTACGGTGACAGTTAAAAGAAAAAGACAAGAAACAGAAAACAAGAGTTTTAAGTCAATCATTAAAATAAGTCAAAACGAATGAATTATCTTAGTCTGTATCAATAGCTTACCTGCAAAATCGAAAAAGAAAATTATATATATTTTATCTGTAAATAATCAAGTTACGTAAAGCGGAATTGTGTAAGGTCGAACAAGTTGTGGGAAGGTTAAGATTAAAATATCATTTGGATTAAGATGTGTCTAGTAGTCATTCCTTTTAAAAGGTCTTTTATTACACTTGTAGAATACTGAATATTATCAATCCGGTTTTGTTGAGTTGTTTTCGTCATTCACGGACGCCTTAATTATGCGATCGATACGCTGCTCAGATAAGGCCTTATGATGTATTTCGAAAACTAGAAGCCAAAATAACTTTAAAATGAAATGACGGTGGAATAAACAATCCCTTATTTGGATAGTTTTACAAATAATACCAGCAGAATTTTTGCTCATCTCTCGTTGTCCTCTTCGCCTTTAAGAGGCTCGGCAAACAGATACTACGCGACTCGCAAAAGATCCGCGCGTATAATACGTTAAACTATCGAATAAGGTCCAGATATATCAGAAATACTCCCTCAAAATTAAAACCTTGTTCAAACCTCGAGAGACTGCGTCATAGTCTTACGCGACGATCACGTGATAGACTAAGTAAGGAACTTTGCTCCCTGTCGAAGCGTGAAGAACTTGGAGAAAAGAGAAAGTCGCTCATTACCTTGAGATCGATCATAGTTTCGTTTTGCTTGGTAATCTATTGATATTAAGCTCTTTTCCTCTAAATAACGAATAAAGAGAAACGTCAAACGAACAGAGATTGAACTGATAACGTTCCTGTAACCAGTGTTTTATTTCAGACATTGATGAGGTTTGCTTAAGATCTACTGAAATTAATTATCTGTTGTCAAAGCATCTTTTCAATGCGCTATGCATTGCTTTTCAAAAGTGATTGTTATTTAAGTGTTTATGGATGGATCAGTTCCATAATTCTCTCCACGTTTTTTAACTTAGTTACCTATGACCTGAATTAAAGCCCTCCCTCTATAATATTTCTAAGACCACAAGCAACTTTGAAATGTAGGTTGAACACAACTTTAAAAGATTTTAAGAACAGAACCGGAAATAACAAATGAAACAAATGAAAATAGCTACTAAGTGGCAATCATATCAAGGAAAAAGTTAACTTATCTCTCTAACAGAGCAAGATACAATGAATTTTCACAGTCAAAAGACTGAAATAATTGGCTAACAATTAATATTTGGTTTGTTACCTGATTTACTGCGGAACTTAAAAACTTAGTAATTCTGTTTCAAGGTAAGACCTTCTCAAATGTTAGCCATGAAAATTTGTCAGTAGGTAAGTAAAATCTCGATCTTACTTTCCTTGCAGCCTTGACTGTATTCGAATTCAATTTTCTAATACAACTTAAAAATCGGTGGAATCTAAATGCTGAACTTCTCCATGATTCGTGAAGTCGGCTGGCAAATTTCTTGCAAAAGCTCCGCTACGAAAGATCAAATTTCGCTTTGTCTAGATTTCCACTTTACCAAGACATGATTTTTAAAATGAAGCCGTTTGATCATGAAACGCTCTCCAATGGTAGCAAACAAACTCTTAAGCTTACCGCAAAATTTAATATTCTTTTTGACCAAATAAAATTTCAGGTAAGAAAACACGCATTCAAAATATTTAATCCTTACGCTACGAAGCGAAAAAGCGGTACGAGCATGTCGTCAACTAGAAATGAATTGGCAGGATATTCTTCGCATTTCATCTTTCCCTCTATCTATCCCAAACTTCACACTGCTTATTTCCGGAAAGCCTATTATCTAACCAAACCTTCCTCTAACTAAGCCTCTAAATTATAGAAGGCCTGCCGTGATTGTAACAGAAGTACAAAGTGATTTCGTCAGTGCAGAATCTGTCATGATGTCGGACTTGTGTTGGTGATTGAGTAAACCTCGAGAGCTTCTGTTAGAGATACCTCTTCCCAGTAAGGGCCGACAAATTCTTCCAGAGCACCGCACCAAAAACCTGAAAATTGAAAAATCTCAGGATCGGTAAACATCGCTAAACGTTGCTAAAGGTAAACGATTCGTTGTAAATGCCTCATCGATGAACAGTGCATGCGTTGACTAACTGAACCGTCAGATCGAATGCGTTTGCACAGTTTTTTTACTATAGGAATATCCTGTACCAATTATGAAGTAAGCCGACTTGAAAATATCCACCACAGGAAATTTAGGCGTGTTAAGACCACTCAAACTCAAAACCCAGGAGCATCTGTTAATAAACACTTTTAAAAAGGTGTTTTACTGTGTTTACGTTTCATAGCGTAGCAGGAAATTTGAACGGTGTAGCACACTGTTGCTTTTGTTGGAATGGAGCAGATTATTCCGATAGATGAGGTTCCTTTCTTCGTTTACACTGTTTGCTCGCAGTAACAGCAAATTACACAGCTTTTCTATGCTGGAGGCTTATTTACCCCCTTGAAGCTCGCAAATTATCGTTTTACCCCAAGGGTAGGTGATAAATTTGCCACCTTTTCAAACGAATCGGCGTTAAACTGTTAGCGAAAGCGAGCTTAAATGTGTACACTTCTAATTACATAAAGCTTTCGTTTACTTACTTTCATTAAAGAAAATTCCCTCGGGAGAACCTTGTGACTCAAACTCTGTACTGCTGGTGTTTGAAGAAGTTTCTTCATCGCTTAAACGTTGTCGTTTGCTCGTGGTGTCTTCGTCTTTTTCACTCTCATCGCCCGAATCCTGTTCCAAGATATTCTCGAGGACATTTATGTAGTGAATAGCTAGTCGCAAAGTGGCAATCTTGGAGAGTTTCTCTTCTCCATCGTAGCTCTCTTTTGGAATAACTTTTCTCAGCTCTTCAAATGCTCTGTTCAATTTATGCATTCGATTTCTTTCTCTCACCGTAGCACAATCCCGACTTGACCTCAAATGTGGGTACTTTCGTAACCGCGCCGAATCCCGAAAGCAGTCGCTGCATATTTCATCTACGTCTTCCTCAAAATTGGCCAATTCCGCGAGCTTATTCCGAGCCTCGCGGGACGTCTGACGAAGATGATAGCGTTTCTTCCCATTTTCGTTTCTTGTGGAAGCTTCCATCGCTGTTTTGTAATCAAACTCTGTTGCGCTGTCCTCTTATTTGACTTGACTTACCTTACCTTGCATTCTTGAAGTTCCGCAAGCTCCGCCCCTCCAATCAGACCTCATTAAAAAGTTTCGATGCATGTCCTTCATAGACGTCATCTGTCAACCAATCTGAGCTGAGCTTTTGCGGTACGAGGCCAATTTCTTGACCTCCGATTACGGCCGCAACAGTGCGGATTTGTTTGGAAAACGACCAAAACATGTCTTTTGACGGACCGCCAGGGCCAATGCTTAATATTTGACAGATTAACGCGTCCTTGTACATCTATCTCCCTCCCACAAAGAGGTATTTGCGAGAGTCTTTTTCAACGACGAAAACTGTCGAGGATGATTTATTATTTTTTAATTATTGCCTGACAGGATAACATTGTCGGGACTAAGACTATTGACTTAACTAAATCATTTACCAAACATATCTCTAAATTTAACCCATGATCGTGATCTCATTATTTGACCTCGCGCCAGATTTCCTTGACAAAATCACTCAAGAATGTTTTTCTTTTAAATGCGCGAATATATGAAAGTGAAAGAACTTTAGCATAACAGGGTCTGATACTGACAAATAGCACCTAATCGAGTCAATAACTGAAGTAAACAAAACCCTCGTGTTAACTTGACGGATCGAACTCATAAAATAATACTCATAAAAAAAAATACTCCATAATGTTTTCCATGTGCTCGAAGATACGCAAATATGTAGCCCGGAAGGTCGGTAAATACTCTGTGATAACACGTTCTTGCAATTAACGAGGTTCATTGTTTCAATCAAATTGACACAGTGCACCCGCAGATAGTTGATTGCTTACAGACAGTTCAACTCTAAAGGGATCCGTAATTGGGGAGGCGGTGCTATATGTTTATTCTGCCTCCTCGGAAATGCTCCTTCTGTGCCGTTTTAACGAATCTTCTCGATGCTCCACTTAGCTTAAGCGGCCTAAAAAATTATATTTATCTCATCCTACTTGACTTTTTCGATTTACTATCGATAATATGTCTGAGTTTCGCGAGGAGGCCCGGCGGAAATTCTGTCCTAGTTAGTATGGTCTAGTGATTGACAATCTTGAGTGCCTGGTTGGACATTTTTTATCAAATTTCCGGGAGAATTGTTTTCTCGGTTCCGAGGTTTCGTCATAATATGTAACTTGGCGATCGGTGATAAATGTTAAATGTCAGATGGAGAAGAATATAATCCAGTTCCGAAACTTGTCTATAAAAATAGCAAAAGCAAATAAATAAAGACCGATTTACTTCAGATAATTGCGAGGAAATTGTTGCGTTTTGCAGCATATTATTTCCATTTGTGTAAACACCAGGGTGACAAAAAGGGCAATTCTTGTTAAGCTCATACAGGGACGTTGGCATTTCTGATTTGTAAACAGAGGGTTTCGCTGGCCAAATTCGATCATCACTAGTGCACTTCGTGAGTATGAAGTTAGCGTCATCCGTTTAACAGAATACACAGGATACAGAAAACCACAGGCCGAGATTTGAGGCTGGGTATTTATTTTCATTCAAGAGTTATCGTATTGAAAATTACTCGAAAGGCTCTCTCAATGCTTTCACTTTTGTTAGAGACTAGAGAGGAAATTTATGAAACAGTGTTGATACATTCCCGAGCAGAAAGGAGATTAGAAGACAGAAAAATATCAACTTAGGCATAACGCTTGATTTTATACTAAATTCTCTTAGCTAGCATTATAAGAAATGTAAAACAGACGATGTAGAGAATTGATATTGGATCTAGGGAGTGATCAAAATGAAAAGGTGAAAGTATCTTTCATTGTCAGTCTTGCTCGTGGCTATTTTCTGGTCTCGTTACGCTAGAAGAAGATCTAACAACGGCTGCGTTGGTCAACACATGAATGTAAAATTGTGTGTGCTTTTTTTAAAGACTATTGTTCCTAGGATCGACGTTGTTAAGACACTTGACCGCAATGCATTTGGCGGACAATTTTAGCACAGACGGACCACCTTGTGAGTCTGTTGAAATGTCAGAAATACTACAGAAGTATAGAATAATATACCGGCCACAAAAAAAGCACTGAAAAAACGTTTCAAACGGCCCGGGGAGGCAAAAAACCCCTATCCTTCGGTGCACTGATATTTCTTTTCACTTAATTGAGGTTTTCAGACCACAGTTCTTTGGAAATTTTATTACTCGGTCCTTAATTTTTAACCGCGTCACATTCTATATTTCTGCAGTATGTCTTACCTGTCAACATATCCACAAGGTGGTCAGTCTGTGGTCAAGTATCTCGACCAACGGTTGCGTGGGACACTTCATGCCTACAAAATTTTTGTGAACCTTCAAAAAAACTACTGCTATCTGGGACGCGTACGTTGTAGGACTTCTTCACGGGTAACGAGCATGAACTAGACCAGATGACTCCTGAGAGCAAGACTAACAATATATGGTACTGTCACCCTTTCACTTCCTAGATCTAAATATCAATTCTCTACACCGTTTGTCTTACATTTCTTATAACACCAGCTTAAAGAATTTAGTGTCAAATCAAACGCTTTTCTTAATTAAACACCCCCAGGGTGGCCCACCTGTGATCGAACTTCATGTTGACAATCGGTGAATACCAACTTAAGCTGGGTTCTGACATTAAACCTGTTATAAACCGAAAAACCCTGAATTAATGATGGGCCAAAAATCCTGATCCAATTAGGAGTGGCTCTTTTAATCTGGAGGGGCTCAGCTCTCCTTTATGGGTCGCTTGGCTGGGAATTTCGACAATGGAATGCTTTGATTCAGACACCGAATTTATCATGTGCCGAACGGATATTTTTGTGAAAATTTCTCACTGCCTGGCATTTGGTGTGTCGGCTGCTGAGTATTTAGACACAGCTAACGTTTTTGCCTCATACTGCTGAAGAAACTCTTTAACGGTATCAGATACCGAATTAATTGAATTAACTTCGCAGAACGAAATGGTCTCATTTTTTATCTCCTGTCTCGACTGATGGGAAGGGCTACAAAGTCCGACCGAGGAACAGTGTTTCTATCGTTAAAGTGGATATCTGCGACGGGCAAAACTACAGACAGTGCGGAAGCAAACGCTAAATGTTGTTTTGGTAAGATATACTAAAACGAAAATTAGCAAAAGAAACTAAAAGATGGTTTATATTGACACGGATTGCAAAACAACTATTTATCTAATTATCGGACTGGCTGAGTTTAGTTTTAATGCCGGCTCAGATAGAGGCCTGTACAAACAATAACAAGGCCAGACCACGACACCGGCAACTACATTCTCTACTCTTTAATTGCGAGAGGTTCATGAGTTCTTCATCGTCCCCCACTAACCAGCAGAGAAAAAATGCAGGAGACGGAGCCCACGGTTTATCAATTTCTCTTTTTAATCAGTTTTATGCATTTTGTCATGGTAAAGGAAACATATTCTCCTCGATTATTTAAAGACCTTGAGTGTTGATCCCGTCTCGACCTGCCGTTAAGTGTCCAGTGCACACAGTTTCCCCTTACAGCAACATCTCTTAAATAGACATTAAGGGAGTAAGAATGAAAGAAATTATCACCAACTTAGTTAAAAGAGTTTAATTCGAGAGAATGGGCAAGTCTATTATTTCACCTTTGATCTACCAAGAATTGTATTTTAATTTAGAGTATTTTAAAAACCAATTGTCGCTAGTAAATTGACATTGCACTGGTTCACTACTGTGATTGGTCTTAAAAAAATACTCGCGCCAGCTTCCTAACCATGCAATCACATCACTTGCTTTTTCCCGCCTTGATCATGAATTCAGTTCTTATTGGCATCTGGTGACTTACTCTTATCTTCTGATTGGCTGTTGTGTTTGTTGCTGTAATTAAGTTGTCTTCCATGGCCCCTTAAAGCCGCCATTCGGTTCCTTGGAGTGCGAATTGTTAATACCTTGTGATGCAAATATGGATTAAGCACATACATGAACTTGGTAATCGTTACAGTCAAAACCTGTGCATCTTTGATTTTGTCGAAGTTGGGCCCCCCATATCGAATCAAAAGATTGGGTATGAAGCCGACAAACCAGCAGACTGCGAACACGAGGCATGCCCTGTACGTATATTTTCTCAATTCTTTCTCTCTGCAGTTCTGAACACTAATAGAAATAGGGATGAGAGATAGGCGAAGTTTTTTCACGATGCGAAAAAAGGTTATTAAAATAATAATAAGAGCTGCCACGTTCAAAGATATAGAAAAGGTTACAAGATGTAAGAAAGAACTTTTTTTGCTTGATATTTTGTTCAGGAGGTCGTACGGATCAAAATTGTGGCAAAATGGATGCTCTCCAAGCACATCAAACGTAATAGCGGCTGAGGCCAAAACTAACACGAGAATCCAACAGATAAAAAATAAACTTTTTGACATTGTGTTGTCAGTATGCGCTGATTGAAAGGGCGTCAAACACAGCCTTGTCGGTTCATCGCTATGAGGAATAAAGTGATCGCGTTCATCGTCATACAGACAAATACTGTCGGGGTAATAATAAAACACAAAACTGCGGGCACCGTAACTGGTAACCAGTGTAGAAAGAAAGCCGATCGTAGAAAGACTTACAAAAAGGACTTGTGGGACCTTACGTAGTCTCCCTCGCAGCCGTTATTTTTGGATGTCCTTTTGGGGGAGCGTTGCGTGACATCCAAAAAAAAAAACGTCTGCGAGGGAGGCTAGGCCTTACGAGGATCTCTGCGTTTCCAAAACAAAACGCATGCGCGCCCATTGCCAAAAATCCCTGCCAGAGAACCAATTGTCAACAGCGAGATGTCAATAATAATAACAGTTTGACTGACAGGTGAGGCCTGATGGTTTTCCATCGATGAATGATTCATTTTGATTTTTGGTCGTGGCTGGAAAGGCATTAACTTTGAAATTCACCTGCCGAGCGAAGCAAAACGCTAAATCAGTCTCGTATGCGTTTTATTTTCCGAGTCAAACTCTGACTCCAGGTAAACGAGATGTAAAATATAGGGGAAGATTAAGAATTGAGAAAATATCAGAAGAACATAATTGAGAAAATATCAACAATTAAATGTCTAATATTTAGCTTAAGCCCGGCGTTATATAACTTACCTCAAATTTGCAAATACAAACTGACCTTTATTTGAACGGAGAGTACAACTGTTCGCTTCATGAAGTAATCTAATTTTTCTTTTTTTCGTAAATAAGTATATTATTTTTCTATGGCGACTTAACATGAACATAACTATAATCTACATCAGGACCACACAGCCTGGTTAGTTATCTACTCCTGATACATGAACAATGTAAAATTTAAGAGTACAGCTCATTAATTTCGCGGTTTTTTATTTTTTTTAATTATTTTTTTTAATTTTTTAATTTTTTTTTATTTTTTATTTTTATTATTATTATTATTTTTTTTTTAATTTTTGTATATTTTTACTATTAAGATTTTCAAACTCTTTTAACAATGAATTTTGTTTCTTGTATATTATACACGTAATTCAGTCTTCGGACTGCGAGGTGATTTTTTTTAATAAACGATTTATCTATCTATCGATATGATTGAGCTGCCTTCAACTCCCCATATAATCGCCTGTGTTTGTCATTCGACTACTGATCCTCTCCAGAAAAAAAAATCAGTACCTTTCTTTCAGTTGAATGTGATGTGTAGAAGAAATAGAAAGGAAAAAATTGTTGCGGAGAATACAAGTTGGAGCTTTAATCATTCGTAATACTTGCCTTCTGGTCTATCTTTTTCGTTTTTCTCAATCCGGCTTCGCCGCTTCCTTGCAAAAGCAACTCCAGCGTTTGCGAAACTTTAGCCAAGTATTTACACCTGTTCAAGGGAGAGATTCTCAGTCAGAAACAACTGATGTTCAAAGCGTTTACTTAAAGTATACTTTTGCTGTTGATCTAATAAACGCCTTTCTGAGTGGAATTCAATCAGAATGGAGCAGAAAAAAAATAATTCTTTTCTCCTATCTGAGCTTACAATATTCCTAGCTTAGCTTTATACGTATTGACGTTTGCATTAAAATTGTTTGAATGACATGATTATTGGGTTTTCAATACGACGGCCGGTCAATTTAACAAAAGACTCTAGAATAGGATTTCGTTGGGCTTTGACAGAAATATTGCCAGAGTTGTCAAGATGCGCATTTGTGTTTGATTGTTGAATAGAGCACCATCTGTCGGAAATTGTTTTTTTAATTAATCTACTTATTCAAATATTATAATGGTACACATCTTTGTTTCAGCAACTCAAAGCCGGCCTCTAAAATCATAATCTTCCTTCTTTTATTGTATCACTCACGCTTCAGTTTAATCGATTCGTTTCATGTGACCTTGGCACTATTTCATTCAAGATGAAGTTATCGTACTTTTCCGTGAGATATTGCAAACGTTAGGGAAAAACCAACGGAAAATAACTTTTTAAAAGGGTTGCATCCCTAAGTTGATTGTTATAAATTGCTCATTTTTCCCCCAAGGATTGCTCAGACGAAAATTATAAAAATATTTTTCCTGGAGTTGCCGTAAAAAAAAATTCATCAAATGGCTCTAAGTACTGAAAAAATCCATTTCCAGATTGGTCAAAGAGTCTTTTAAATTGCCAGCAATGACGCAGTTTATTTGCTTACCGAAATTTTTGCATGACAGTTGTTTTAATCTGTCTCTGACGATATATTTCTCCATTAGAGATTGTCACAGTAAAACAGTGATGCATGAAATCGGGGCAATCAAATGGTTTGGTGTCATCAGAAAAGAAAGGTTTATAGAGCACTCTCAATCGAGTGTCGTAAGTAATCCGGAACTACTTTGGTTTGACTTCACTTTGTCGGGTCCAGGAAACTCGCGCATACGCGTGTTTCTGCGCTTCAGGCAGCTTGTCGGTTTTTACTTCCGGTTTTCATTATTGATATTTTCTTTGCTATGATTGACTATTGCTTTGCTTTGGTTTAACAACCCTCAATCTAGAAACGCTCCAACCTCGTTCCCAGGGTCTCTCATCTTCCTGCTGCCTGGAGATGAGAGACCCTGGGAACGAAGTTAGCTCTATGCCATTTTGGTTTTCACGTGACGTCATTAAAATTAAAAAAATAAGGAATTATCAATCAGAGTGAGATTTTTGATTAGTTAGTTAATAGAACAGTTGAAGACATAATATTCATACAAATTTTCAGTTTGATCGGGTTTTTCGTCTTGTGATTGTCATGAAAGCGCCCAAAAGAATTTATTTAGGGGTACGTAAATAATTATTTTATTCTCCTAGGATCAATGTAGTGGTTAATATTTGTATCTGTTACGTAACTTGTTGTGTAATTAACCTTTCTTTTATATATCACATAGTTTTCTTCATTCTTTTCTGGCACCTTGCGTCCACATGTGGTTACCACGGGTGGTTACGGTGTGAGGTTTTTTTTTCTCCCTGTTTTGAGAGAAGGTTGGAAAGTTGCGGAGACTCGTTCGGATCGGGGCACGTTTCAATCACTGAAGAGTCATTCAGGAAAATCGTCCTTTCACACGACAAAGATTTCATTTGCCGGGGGCGTACGTTTGCAGAGAAGCTGGCCGAAGAAAGCGCAGAAGAAGGAAAAGAAGAATATCTTCTGTCAAAGGGAAAGCCAGTGAAGACAAGAGGAGTCAAGGAAAAATCTGGGCGAAGACCGAATTACGTGAAGTTAGAAACTTCTACGTTTAGCTAGAAACTTCTACGTTTAGCTGCGTTGAACGCGAGTTTGGCTTGTTAAACGCGAGTTTGGCTTGTAACGAGTTAGGGTTGTTAAACGTGAATTTGGGTTGTGAATCGTGAGTTTGGTTTATCAGTCGTAATAATTATATATTATTATATTATTATTATTATCAGCCGTTTGTTGGTGGAACGTGGTTGTTAAGAACAGGTCAGGCACAGGGACGCGAGGGTGAACTGAACTGAGCTAAAAAAAAAAAAAACCTACTTTTTTTTTTTACATCTTAATAGTAATACTCTTGTAAATAGTTTTAGTGTACTGAAGTTTAAATCTCGTATTTCTGTAAATTAATTAGGATAAACAATTCAGTTCATTGTGTTATCGTTATTGTTAGTTGCTTTATTGTTTTACCTAGGGATAATAAATCTTTCTAGACTTCTGGTTGGTAGCGTTGTGGCGTGTCTTCTAGGGATTGTTTGTGCTTGGGGTTTTGTCTGTGCCACAAAGGGCGCCCACCTTTGTGGCATGCAATCGTCACAGTGATAAAGCAAGGTTGAATTTCTAAGCTTTTGCGTATATTAAAATGCTGTCACGTAGGTTAAAAAAAAGTAGCTTAGCTGTTGAGATTTCGCAATCTGAACAGTCCTTGTATGTGAATGAGCAATCATAGAGATTTTTGTGAACCCTCAGAAGACGACTGCAGGCTTTTCATAAGAAAACTCGAGGACATATGTTTTTGTTAGTTTCCGGCCGCCACGTTGGTGTCTGCAGACAAAGCCTTGTAAAATTTGAGTAAAGCATTTCTTTGTGTATCTCCCGCACGGAACATTGCAGAAACCGGAATCTTTGCGAGACTGTGAGAATATTCATCTTATTTTATTTCTACGATTCTTGACTTTATTTGTTAAATGGTTTTGATGATTGTGTGACAGTGGTATCTTTGACCCCAAAAGAAGATCTATTCCAAGGAATGACTATCCAATTTCATCGCAGAATGGTTTTCTCCCAACCGTTACGTGATACAGGATAGATTGGTTTGAACGGTTGAAGGAACGTTTGATTTGCATTGCAAATATTTTTAGGCTTAACTTCATTTTGAATTCTTTTTAATTTTGTTAGGATCTTCACACGTGGAGCTTACAACTTCATTGACGCTTCATGGCTCAGAGCTTCTTGCTTCAGATTTGGTTTTTCGGGGAGCGAAAAATCATCGACCCATGTGTAAGACAGTTCTAATGCCAAACAGCTAAAGCTGAAATGTTGGTTGACCTTAACACTCAGACTTAAATGTACGTCGCACATTGACAGTGGCCGGACAGCAACGTGAAGCCAGCTCAGTTCAGCCATGTTTTGGGGCATTCTTTGAGCTCGTGTAAGTTATCTTCTTTCGTTACATGTTCTTTGATATAACTTAAAAACCTGTGGAAAATTTCTTGAGTTTTTCAAAGCCAAAACGCGCCAAATTTACCCTGTTTCAAGAAAGACTTAGACAAAAAAATCCAAATTTTGAAATCAAAGACTACTAGTCTCCGCGGAGTTCTATTGTTATCGCTATTGTTTTCATTGAACAAAGACTGAATGCATAATTAATGTTGGGGCTATATGATACTCTCGTTCCATATTTATTCATTTATTCTCTTATTGATTTATATATTCTTTTTTCCCTTTTATTGAACTATTAACTGCTTTGCTCCAGCTTTAGTGCCAACTACTTACTTAGTTTTACTCAGCTCGATTAGCTCTTTAGTTATTCTGACAGGAGAGACTTATCATTCCGCAGTATTTGAACGGCAAATTTAAGGATTGTCAAGAAACATATCAATTGCCAGGTTGAAATATCGCATGTATCACAAGAGAAGAGGAGAACGAATCTGTGTCGAGCCTTCCAATGAAGTTCTGAAATGAAATGGGTTTATCATCACCAGACACCTAACGATTACGGAAGTTGTTCAGATTTATACAAAAGTCCCCCTTCCCGCCCCTCCCCCTTTCTAATGAGATATAGAGGTTTCTATTACCACGGTTATTTATTTGTCTGTCTATTTAACTCTTTATTCTGATAAAACTGTTTTTATTCTCGCAGTCATCAAGTGATCGTGCGACAGAAAAGAGAAGAAAAATGGCGGATTACTTCTAAATCTAGAACAGGATCCCAGAGACAAATACATTTACAACAGGTCAGTTCATGATTAAAGTTAGGGACCGATCAGAATTTATTGCATGGTAGGGCTAAAGGATTTTGGTTGTGTTAGCTGATTCCCCCTCAATGGCAGTAATTTACGGTTAATTTTGTCTAGCACCCCACCCCCCCTTCATACTCTATTGGCTACGTCTGACCCCCTTCCATTCCCCCTGAAAACCATGTAACTCCCCAACATCCTCCGCCCCCCTCCCCGGGCGATGAAATATGTGTTCAGGTTTTGAAAACTCTGTTAATTAATCCACCAGTATTTAAGTTGTCTTTCACGGATCGAAATGTTCCACATTCAAGCGCACAAATGCTTTCTGAGTTGATATCAACGACCGATAACTTTCGCCAGGACACCAGTTTTACTGCAGATATGAGTTTTAAAACCTAGTTTTCAGCAAAATTTTAAGAAAATATATCAGACTTCCTCCCTTCACTGTGGTTTTTGTGAGCAGCGAAGTTCGCATCGCTAATCTCACTTTATTATATAGATAATTATGAAATACCAGGATTTCTCCTTTTACTAAAAAATCATATCTTCACCACGCGCAGTGAAGATATGATTATAATATCCTCTATATCTAACTTCACTAGGTAGAGTACAAATAACACGCGAATCGAGTACAAATATCCCGCGATATTGTAAAAATAAAAAGACCTGTTTGACCGGTCGGCTGTACGTGCTACGATTCTCTGTTTGCTTCACTTTTCCCGTCTTGTACGAAATACGCATAAAGTAGAGTTTCTGGACAATAAATAACTTATTAGACGTCATCAAACGCAACTGAACCCNTTGGCAAACAAACTCGTCACATGTTAGGGTGTTGAAATTTGCGATCACGTAAAAAGAAAACTTATCTTGGCTTCTCTGCTCTGTAAACCAGTAAAGTAATCTCTCATCCAGCCGCGGATATTTCGGAGTGTATCGGCTCATCGTTGTGCGTTTCGCTGACATCCATTGAAGAGATTCTCTTGATCTTTCCTCAAGCGACTCACTGATCATGATGACTTACTCTCTGGTTATCTCGGAATTGTTTTCGACGGCAATACTGCATTGAAAGTCTGTTCTGTTTCGAAACTTTTGCGTTCATTTCAGTTTGTTCGAGAATGGAATTCTCTGAATATGGTCTCGGCTTATAGCCGAGTATTTTCAATTTACATGTTTTAAGAACCTTCCCGATTAAAACAGACCGAAGTTTAGGGTCTCGGCTTATAGCCAAATAAATACGGTATCTTGTTTAACAAAACTCGTAGGACGTTAAGCTTTTCCTATCAAAATTGCGCAGACTCGTAAGTGTCCGTTGTTTCACTCTTGGAAAATTTCAAACTCGTCTGGATTAAAGGTCTCGATTTTGTTTCAAGGTAAAGTTGAAAGCAAACGAACACGTACCGAACAACACCCAAAAATAATTTACGACAATACCAGAAACATTTTAAAATTACTCCGCTGGTAAAGCATGATTACCATTTCAAGGTGAACTTTGAATTGAAAGTTTTTTTTTTTCCTTAAGATGTACACCTCAGTTCTAAAGAATGTATTGTTTGTCAGAGCAAATCGAATTGTTAAACACTTGTACATTTGAGTTAACGCCCTACAGCCTTGTAAAGTTATGTCTAAGAGAGTACTTAAGGTTTCCAACTCATTGCTAAAATTGGGGTAGGGGAAGGGAAAGATAGTCTATCTAATAGGGGACAACCTTTTCCTACCGTAAATTGATCTGCCTATGCATGGCAAATCGTTAAATACAAAAAAATACGATGCTAGCGAAAGATATCTCGGCTATTAAACCTTTTATTAACAAGATCTGATTGTTAATTCTCCCCGCTAGCTATTATACATTTCCTTGCAAGTTAGTTAGGAGAATTTGGTGTTAGATCAATTAAGATAATAACTTTTTCCCGAAACGTTCTCATTGTCTGTTTGTTGGATAATATTTAAGATATTACAGGAAGCTAGAGGTTACAGGTTAATCACTTATGGGACTTAAAGAGTAAACCCAATACAGAACGGCTAGCAGTGAACTTATTTTAGAGTGTACTAAACACATGTTCATGGCAAAATTTCCTTTTAATTGCAGGTTTGAAGGATGATGCCACACGATTTGGAAAACGTGCTAACTTACATTGAAATAAAGTTTATGACACGCTTCTTAGATATACTTATTAAGGAAAGAAAGTCTTGAAATCAGTGTTTGCGGAGAAAATAACTGATAAAGCAGTTTGTGCTTTTAAAAGGGCTAACTAGGTTTTTTAAAAAACGCCTTTTTCTTGGACTTGCAAAGAAATTTGGTCACATAAAATTCTAAGTCTTCTGGTGGTAAAAATTTGCTATTGAAAAAAGTCTGCGCTTGTGGATTGTGTCCGGTGTTGATCGAAAAATATAGTGTCTTTTGGCGGGAAAAATTTGCTATGGAAAAAAAAGTCTGCGCTTTTGGATTGAGTCTGGTGTTGATCGAAAAATATACTGTCTTTTGGCGGGAAAAATTTGCTATGGAAAAAAAAGTCTGCGCTTTTGGATTGTGTCTGGTGTTGATCGAAAAATATACTAAGTCTTTTGGCGGGAAAAATTTGCTATGGAAAAAAAAGTCTGCGCTTTTGGATTGTGTCTGGTGTTGATCGAAAAATATACTAACTCTTTTGGTGGAAAAAATGTATTGCATCACGCAATTTGTTTTCTCTTGTTAAAAGTTAAGTATATTTTTTGTTTTAATACGAGATGCTGTTCAAATCCGCAGAAAGATTTTTCCTCTCGGCAACTCTCCATACGCATTTTTTATTAAAAGAGAGCCTATATTTTGGCTTGTTCCCAGACCCTTTTAAAGGCGCAATTTTCTTATGTAACTAAGAGATATCAAGAAGAAGATAAAGAGACAAATGTTGAAGTGAAGTCTTTATTTGCTTGGCACTGAATACAATTAACAAGTAAAAATGTTTACAACAGTTGATAAGCATTATCATGCAAAACAAGTTAGATGAATGTGTGTACCCTAAGAAATAACTAGCTTAATTGGCGAGGCGTAGCTAAAGCTGATCAACAAGAAAAAAAATTAAATACGATTATTGACAAGATTTTGATGATACCTTAATTTTAATACAAGCTAAGTATTAATTACCTACGTGAAATATTCCACTGGATACTAATCGATAGAAACTGGAATTTCGATCGAGGGTGATTCGTAAATTTTAAACCAAAAAGTTAAGACTCCTATTACTAAGAAAGATGAAATAATGTTTTGATTGAAAACCATCAAACCATCGTCCATCGTACGACACAAGCAATTGACCCTATAATTACCTCAAAAAGTTAATGAGCCAATGTGAATCTACTCTCAGGAAAATATATCTGTGATATATTTGACTTATTCATTTAGAAAACATTAGCAATTTCATTAACTTACTGGCCTTTTAAAATCGAAAATGTTTAGCATTTTCTAATGCAATGGAAATTATGTTTGATACTAGACAGATATATCCAATTCTCTTCGTTCCGAAATAATAGAAAAATTTGCTCTACCGAAAGTCGTGAGGATCTACTTGAAAAGTAATTAACCTGTTGCAGCTGTTACCTCGAAAATGAAGTCCCTATCGTCTTATAGAAAATAACATTTTGTGGGTTTTCTTCGTCTTCTCTCTTGGTACAGTTTCCTGAACTTTCGTCAACATCAGCCGGGAAGTGACATCAGATCTGCAACCAGATAAGGTCATACTATAATGAACACTTCAAAGAGCAGCTTTGCCATATTTGTTTAAACCGTGGACTACCTGTAAACTGGCTGATCAAGCTATGCGTATTAACTCCACGTCAAATAAAATATCGTATAATATTATCCAACTATGCTATGTAGGGTACAAATATCTCGCGGTATTTGTACTCCAGAGAACCTGTCAGACAGGTTTTCTCGCATCGCGTAAGCGACGAATTGGATCGAAGTTACAAAAACAAAATGGCGGACAATTTAAGTTATTTTTCCGACGACGAAGAGTCGGAATGTCTTGCGAATATTGATCCCAATTTGTTAAATACATCTAACGAAGAAAAGCAGTTAGACGACAATGAAATTTCCGTGCCAATTCCGCTCTGCTTCGCATACTTCTCTCACGCACTTCCCGTAGATAAATATCCGCGAAATTCGCCCGCATTGAAATAATAATTTGGCATGTTTGATAATAAATCTTTTGTTAAACGTTTTATTGTGTAGTATCGCTGAGTGTGTTTACTCGTTGTTTGTATTTCGACTTGCCCCACGGGCGAGTCAAAATAAAAACAACGAATAAAAATACTCAGCGATACTACACAACAAAACGTTAAATAAGACATATGTACTGGTGAAATATCTAGAGTGCTTCGTATATTTCTTTAACTTCTCTACCAGCAAGGATCCCCGTTGACTTCATTTTCAAATCGGCTATGAACTTGATTTGCAGAAAACGTGACATATAAGGATTAAACCCTAGTTAACTCATTTTCGAGAAGTCAATAGTAGATCAACCTATATTTCTTCAGTCCTCTAATTTATTCATGCCTCCATCGGAAAAGATTGCACACTATTAATTTTGCAGGGAAATAAGGCAAAGGAATGTGAGAATTTTTTACAAAGATGTAATAGCAACGTGTTAACTTATTTGAATAGAACTTACAAAAGCAAAGGAAGGTAGCCAAAAAGCAAGCAAATGTCGCGAAAACTTTGACAACTCCGCGAATAAAACAGCATCAAGTCACATACAAGTGGAATTTTGCCTTAGAAACTAATCAGATCATGTCACACACCAGCATTACTCATCCTGAAAGCTCTCCGAAATTGTCAAAATATTTCACTTCATCTTACGCATTACAAGAAAAGTTTGCTTGAATTTTTTTTTTACAAAAAAAAAAAGAGGGCAAGTAAGTAAGTAGTCAAAGTTTAATGTCTTTACGTGGGGCATGGTTACCCATATTGCCCGAGCCAGAGGCTCATGTATGAAACACAAGACAACAACCCACCCATACCACATTAACAGCTACTTTTCTTTTGTTTTTGTTTTCTTCTTTCAAAGAGGCGACCAGTTCGTTTACATTCCAATCATTCTTTGTCAGAGACAAAGTGCTACAGAGAAATTTCACCACAGGCGAAAACATTACTTTGAATCACACTTATTTTCATGCAAATAATTTGTTCATTCCTCTACCGAAATATTCCATTGTATCGTTCCTTCCGCCATCCAAACGCCCATAAATCAAGTCTATCGAAGGCACGCTATAAGAGGAGCCTTAGGTCCCACTGGACCATTTGTCAATCAACCGTCGTGTGATGTAGAACTCTCAGAGTCAAGTCAGCTTGAGCTACAGCTACTCCAAAGCAGTGAACAGCGGGCGCATTCCTCAAAATTGTTTTATGTCCATCACAAAATAAGAGTTTTTGAGATTTGTATTTC